CCAGATCTGTGTGACGGCGTTTGATCTCTTGGCTTCCCCACGAAGGAAGGCGGACATGGGCTTTGACCTGTGGATGGTGTCTGTCAGCCAGTGGCTTGACTTCAGCCTGTAGGGCTGGTACAGACAGACAGACAGAGTGCCCCTCCTCCAAGCACAGGATTCCAATTTTGGTCTTGGAAAAACAATGCAGCTACTGCTGGGGTCGGGGTTGGGGAAACAGTGTTGGGAGGGCAGATATCCAGCTCTTCTGCAGACATATTTAAAACAACTTTTTAAGATACATGCACCCCAGTGTTCATAGCAGTGTTATTTACAGTTGCCAAAGTATGGAAGCAGCCTCAGTGTCCATCAACAGATGAATGGATAAAAAAGATGTGAGATACACACACACACACACACACACACACACACACACACACACACACACACACACACTTTGGAATACTACTCAGCCATAAACAAGGATATTTTGTCATTTGCAGCAATGTGGATGGACCTGGAAGGCATTAAGCAAAGTGAAATAAGTCAGACAGAGAAAGACAAACACTGTATGATATCACTTATATGTGGAATCTAAAAAATACAACAAACTAGTGACTAAAACAAAAAAGAAGCAGACTCACAGAACAAACTAGTGGTTACTAACGGGGAAATGGAAGTGGGGGGGCAATATAGGGGCAGGGGATTAAAAATAAAGCATTATCATGGGATTATATGAAATCATGTGTGTGCAACTTTTGAAAATTGTAAAGCACTACAAAATTTCAAAAAAAAGAATTTTAAAAACCTCTTTATTTTATAATAATTTTAGATTTACAGAAGAACTTCAAAGACAGCATGGAAGAGTTCCCACAGATCATTTACCTCTCCCAGTGTTGACCCCTCACATACCCACAATACATTATCAAAGCTAAGAAATGAACATTAGTGCATTACCATTAGCTAAACTCTAGACTTTATTTGGGTTTCACCAGTTTCCCCACTACTGTCCCCTCTCTGTTCCACGAGGCTACCCAGGAGCCTCATTCATTTAGTTGTCATATCTCCTTAGTCTCCTTGTAATCTGTAAATTCAGTTTTCCACGTCTTCTGTGGTTCTAATAATTTGTTGAGTCAGGTCAGGAACTTAGAGTTGAGATTTGTCCAATGTTTTCCCACAACTCCTCTGGGTTGTGGGTTTGGGGGAAGCACACCACAGAGAGGTAGGGCCTCTCTCATCACATCTAACTGTGGGCACACGCCATCAACGTGACTTTTTACTGGTGGTGTTAACTTTGATCACTGGGTTAGGTGGTGTCTGTTAAAGTCTTTCCTCTGTAACATACTGTCCATCCTTTTCCATATTCTGTCTGTTAGACATGAGTCACTAAGTCCTGTCCACAAGGTTCTGGGATAATTGTCATGCTATTTCATGAACCCCCCACCCCCTAGCCACTCTTCACTGGTAGATGAATTGGTATCTCAACCAGTTGTGATGCATTCTCTGGGCCTTTGCGTTTGGGAGATACAGAAGGTCAGGGCAGTCTTTCTCACCACGTCCTGATTCAGAGATTCCTCCCCTCTGACCACCCTCCCTCTCCCCTCTAGAGCAAGGGACCACAAGCAACCAATGGACTGGGAAGTCTTTTAAATCCGGTTCACAGCAGCAGGTAAACAGCATGGAGCATCACTTAAAAGCTGGAGGCTGGCTGCTGTCCCCGCAAGAAGTTTCTCTTTCAGGTGCTTTTCCTGGTGGAGGACAGAGTTTCCTTGTAGTGACAAGGGGCAGGGTGGCTCCAGGATCTCTACAGAGCAGGGACACAGGGCGCCAGCCTGGCTTGGAGGGATGGGGGGAGCGGGAGTGGAGAAATTGCCTTAAAGCTGCTTTCGTTAAGCAGCACCTTCTGCTTCGTTAAAGAGCTGGGTTTGTGATGCTGAGAGAATTCGGGAAGGGGGCCCTCAAGACAACAATGCGGGGTCACTATCATGTAATAGGAAGTTCATGAAATTTGGATCCTGGTAGATGGTTCAAATCTTGACTCTCCCACAAAGCAGCTGTAGGTCCTCTAAGAAGTTAGTCTTGCTCGTCTCTAAAATGTACACACTCCACAGAATGGAAACCGTACCAAGTTCCTTCCTGGCAGAGAAAGGGCCCGGAATGAGGGAGTTTCCCTCCCTCTTGCTCCTTCTAAGCTCTGGCCCCTCTTGGGACTCCGGGGGGAGGAGCAGGCTGGGAGTTGCCCACTGGGCTCCCTCCATGCCTGGCCTTTTCAGTGGCTTCTGGGAAGGTCACTGGCAGCTGTTCGACCTGAAGCCTGAAGTTGGCTGAGGGAGGAGGGGCAGGGATGGAGTGCTTACAGAGGGGGATGCGGTGGAGACTGCTTTCTGCAGAGATCAACTTGGACATTACGTGGGAAAGCTTCCTGAAGCGGGAAGTGATGCCTCGCTTGGTAAGGAGCTCCGGCTCCTTTGCTTTGCACGGAGCCCCACGAATTAACACGTGCACTCACGTGTGTAGCCCTGAAATTGACCTTCATAACTGCTCCGTGGGAAAGAGAGAGAGGGAGTTAACCAGACCCCGCTCATGGCTGTGGGAACTGACACTCAGAGATGTGGGGACTTGCTCAGAGCCTCCCAGTGGGGCCACGTGGTGCATGGTGGGGCTGTGATTTGAAGCCAGGTCTCCCGCTCCAAAGCCAGCTCTCGCTGGGCCAGTCTCGACTGGGCGGGCTTGTGCCCATTCCAGAGAGGACCAGTGTACCCCCAGGGGAGCAGCCTCCCAGCCATCACTGGAGACTTGGGCACGTGGAAGTCACTGCAGGCCTCATGTGCTGGCTGCATGCGGGCCGAGGACCCTGGAAGGGGAAGGGGACCAACCCACGACTGGAGCAGAGGTGACTCTGAAGGACGGAGTCCCTAAAGGAAGCTGAGAGGCAAGTCCTGGCATGGAGGCTGGGAAGCATCAGGAGGCAGGGACCCCAGGGTCAGTGTCACAGCAGGGAACCCTCCCAAGACCAGCCCTACCTCGTGCTCAGGTACTTTGAGAAGGTGAGGGAGGAGGCGTAAAGGAAAGAACTGAGTTGTCTGCAGCTCAAGAGCTCTGGGTTGGATCCACCATTAAAAGAGGAGATTATGACAAGTCAAAGCTGTGTCCTTACTGGCTGGAGAGAAAAAAAGGGTGGAGACAGACGCCTGCAGGTAAGGGTCACGGTTCACGGTGGCCAGGAACCACGATGGTCAACACAGCAGAAGAATGACAACAGCTGTGGGCACTCAGCTTCATGGGGCGCCACTTTTCCCCGCTGGTGGGGCGGGGACCTTCTGGCTAACATGAAAGTGCGCTGTAGTTACTCAGGTCATGCAGCTTAGTGTTTACTATCACTACAAATGTCAACCCTTTTTAGTTATTGGCACGAGAAGCCAGAGATACATTTCAGTGGGGACAGGAAAGCCCTATTGATGCCACCAATTTCCACTTCTCTTGCTGTGCCTGAATCCCACATCAGAAGGCGAATCCTAATGCAAATTCTTGCTTGGGTACATATTTCTTTAATCAGATTGCTTTTTCAACAACAAGACTAGGACTATGCACTCTGGGAATGGGGGTTGGATGAAAGAGAAGGGAAAACTCATCTGGAACTTGGGACTCGGGAGATACAGCTCTTAAGGGGGTGGGTGGGGACTGGGCACTTCTTTGGTGGGTGGGGAGAGGCAGCCTTTGGGAAATCACTGAGACCAGGAAAGAAAAAAGGTCTGGGAGTGGCAGTGGGGCCACAGGGGATCCTGCCAAAAGGAAGTTTCACCCACTCAGAGACTCTGTGCTGGGCTCACTCTCATCTAATTCATTCAAAATTGATTACCTCTCATGAGCCAGGCACCGTTAGGACTGGGAGACAGGGGTGGGAGGAGGAGACAGACGTGAAGATCTGGCTTCTCTTAGGAGTTTGGAGGCAAGGAGGGCAAGCCATGGGCAAAAGTAACCTTGCTGTGCAGTTGGCAGCAATCAGAACCATGAGAAGTTTACAGAAAATGCATGAGCGAGTACGTGGAGGAGATCCCGCCTGGCTTGGGCTAAGGTTACCAGGAAACCCGGAAGTCTTCATGGAAGAGGTGGAATTAGCCCATGAGAGGCACATATTTTGACATGTAGAGATGGGAGCTGAAAGGCATCCCAGGTAGGGAGGGCTGGGTGGGTAAAAGCAGGGCGGCGGCAGGTCAAGGCATCTGTACAGTTACTGTTCATCAGCACCCATGTGTGTGCTGTATGAAGGCTTGGGTGGTAACTTGAGGAAATTTTAAGTGTTTTTCCTTCGGTGGAGAATTTTCTGTATTTTCCTCTATTGAATAGATTGTATCTTTTCAAGTATAAAATAATGATGATGATGATGGTGGTGGTGGTGATGGCGATGAGGATGAGGAGGACAATAATGGTGATGATGATGATGATGGTGGTGGTGATGATGGTGATGAGGATGAGGAGGACAATAATGGTGATGATGATGATGACGGTGGTGGTGGTGATGATGGCGATCAGGATGAGGGTGAGAGTGGTGATAATGATAATGATGGTGGTGGTGGTGATGGTGACGAGGATGAGGAGGACAATAATGGTGATGATGGTGCTAATGATGATAATGATAATAACAAATTATGATCAAGTTGCATAGAGCCTTGAATTGCTAAGTTTGGTTTTATTCTGCGGGCAAAGTAATCACATCGCTGACTTAGACCCTGCCCCAAGTCTCTATGTTTCTCATTACACTTGACACTTGACTCTTGACTCTAAGGGGACATCGCCCATCCCACCAACCCTGAATAAGAACAAAGTTGTAAGAAGGAATGTCCAAGAAATAGTTTATTCTGAACAAGGAACAAGGCTGATTTGAACAGAGCCAGGAAATCCAGCATCTTGGGCGACTTCCAGCTCCTGCCCCCAGATGCATGAACTCAGCCCACTGAGGGATCCTAAGTGCTGCCAGCATCACAGTGAAGAGAGAAGCAGCCCCGTTATTTCCTGGAGGGGACAGGATGGTGCCAACAGCAACAAAGAATGAAAAGTGTGCAAGACAAGTAGACATGTGGGCAACACCAACTAGAAACAGCCTTGGTTGAAGGAGGAATAATGATAATTTCTTTCCTTTCTTCAAATAAAAATGTAAAACCAAGTGGCACATTAAAATGTCTCTTAAGAAACCTAAGAGATGGCACTGAGAGTCCCTAGGGTTGATTTATGATGTGAGTTGAACTTTCACAGGAATGTACAGACATCAGAGACTCCAGGAAGGAGACTTCAAAGAATCTTAAACACCAGGCTTGTTTCTACAGAAAGCTGATTCGCCAAGTGAGTAAAACAGGAAAGATTCTTCAAATGATGGTGATGACGATGTTGACGAAAAATCGCTACCGTTCACAGAGCAGTGTTTGCTGGGTGCATAACACAGGGGACCCTAGTTAACCCTACAGCAATCCTGCGGGCTAGTTTCATGATCCCCGTTTTAAAACGTGGAGACAGACACTCGATTACGCGATTTGCCTGAGATCTTCTGGTTCGTAAACAGCAGGGCTGGATTCTGAATACAGTCCTGATTCCAAGTCTACGCTTTATCCCTGATGCTACAGCATCTCCCAATTCAGACAAAGGGCTCCCTGAACAGACCATAAAGTAGCTTGCTCTGTGTGAGCCCACCGTCCGCCGCGAGCAAACTGTCTAACCACCGGGGCTTCCGAGCTTATCCACGTGGAGCTGCCTTGCTCATGGCACCTGGAGGTCCTCTTTGAGACAGTGCTGAGGAGATGACTTCTCACCCTTCCAGAAAAGAAAACATGGACGGGGACGGAGACTCAGAACTCTGCTGTGGGACTGCGTTTTGGGAGGAACTCTGATGACACTCTCTGAGACTGACTGATGGTCCCGCCACCCCAGCCCCGGGCGTGGGAGTGGGGCGGGAATGGAGACCCGCTGAAATTGGGGGTGCATCAGGGGAGCAGTGTCTCTGCTGCGCCAGGACCTCGGGGACCAGGCTGGTCTGCAGGCCACACCACCTTGGAAGGTCAGAAAGACTGGCCTGGCAGAGGATGCGAATGAAGACACTTCCAGTTTTGCTCCAGGACTGGGGAATGGTGTCCCCACAGGCTGAGCAAACACAGCAGATGCTGAAGGGCTGTACTTTCAAAAGTATGTCTGAAGAGCCAGGATGGACCAAACTGCGACGTTGCGATAGTCTAACTGCTTTGGGAGATGGGAGTGCCTTTCAAATATTAAGGTTATATTTTGCATGTGTAAACAGTTGTACACATGTCAAAGGTTTTGCAGGTCTGCTACCCAACTGGAGTCTTCCAATAACCATGCGATCAGAGGTGGGGCAGAGAGCTGGTTCACCCCTCTGGCAGATGTGGCATACGGAGGCACGGAAAGGGCAAGGTGTCCACCGTCGTGCAGGGAACCAGCCAGGCAGCTGGGACCGGAATCCAGGCTCCCCAGCTCCAGGCCCAGGGCTCTCTGCATCTGATGTTACTGGGGGTGAGACGGGGCCATCACGGCACAGAGAGGGGCTTTGGGCGGTCAGGGCAGAGATGCTGCCGCCTTGCCGGGAGCCGCGGCGGCGCTTAGCTGCTGCAGCCGCGGGAGCAGGCGTGGGCGAGGATGTTGTTGTTGCGCCCGTCCTGGAGCTTGCCCTGGGCCTGGCTCCCGGCTCGGCCTTCTGTGTCCACGAGCTGGCCGCCCTGGCCCTGCTGCCTCCTCAGCCTGCAAACAAGCACAGCACAGCCCGGCGTTAACGACGCAGAGCGGGACGTCCAGGGACACGGCCGGCCAAGCGGAGGGACGGAGAAGCCCTCTGCCCACGCCTCCCGCCGGCTAGGGAGGCGCACCCCGTGACCGGAGCCAGGCAGGTGGGGTCGGCGCCCAGCTCGGCTGCTTCTGATGAGCCACTTAACACACAGAGCCTCGATTTCTCCATCTGTAAAATGGAGCTAATCATTCCTACCTCAAGGCTGCTTGTGAAGTCTAGGCGATCATGTTTGTAATCTGCCTAAGTTCTCCCGGCTGGTAAAGGGGTGCGCCCCCATCATCTGTTCACATGACCCTGAGGACCAGCTACCGTGCCAGTGAGCAGAGGAAACCCTGGAGAGCAAGGCAGTCAGGGTTTCTGTGCTCATCGAGCTGATGGGCAGACGGACACTAATCAAACTATCCCACAAATAAATATCCAAACAGAATGAGCCCCCAGGTTAGAAAATACCCCATGACGAGCTGCTGAAGGAGCACAGTGCTGAGCACTGCGTTTCCCGACAGCCGGCCGCTCGGCCACCTCCCACCTGACTGCAGCTGCCAGCACCCCTCTCCTTCTGGTTCTCGAGGCCAGTTCTTGCGCTGCCCCCCGCCCCCCCCCGCTGTCGCTGCGCGTGGAGGGTGCAGGCAGAAACTGAAACCGAGTGATTAAGGAGGCAGTGAGGCATCTGAGAAATGAGAGGAACTCAGCTGAAACCCTGGCTCTCAGCACCAGCCACTCGGGTCAGGGATCTAGGGGCTTCCGAGCCTCAGTTTCCCTAACGTTGGGGATGGTATCACTCCCTTGGCAGGAGGCTGAGGGGAATCAGAGAATGTGCATAAAATGTCTAGCTGAGGGCCAGAAATAAATAATATGTCTCCAGTTTCTGCTTGTTTTGAAAGACGCAAGTTTCAGCTGGAATGTGCTTTTTACATTAGTAAGTTCTGTTCAGCAGAGCGCAGGCCTACTGCCTGACTTAGAAGAAAGAGCTGTTTTACCCAGTGAACATCCATGTGTGCTTGTCACATGCAGGGCGCCATGGACGACCCCCAGATGCATACAACACAGTCCATGGCCTCGGATGGATCACAGCTGTGTGTATGCATGTGTGTGTGCGCGCACACGGTGAGGATGCTGTGTGTGTGTGTGTGCACGGGGGGAACCTAATATGTGTGTGTGTGCGTGTGCATGGGGGGGACACCTAATGTGTGTGTGTGTGCACGGTGGGATGCTTTGTGTGTGTGTGTGTGTGTGTGCACGGGGGGGGACACCTAATTGTGTGTGTGTGCGCACGGTGGGATGCTTTGTGTGTGTGTGTGCACGGTGGGATGCTTTGTGTGTGCGTGTGTGCACGTGCACGGTGGGGACACCTAATGTGTGTGTGTGCATGCGTGTGCACGGTGGGGATGCTTTGTGTGTGTGTGCGTGTGCACGGTGGGGACACCTAATGTGTGTGTGCGCATGCGTGTGCACGGTGGGGATGCTGTGTGTGTGTGTGTGTGCATGGGGGGGACACCTAATGTGTGTGTGCGCATGCGTGTGCACGGTGGGATGCTTTGTGTGTGCGTATGTGCACGGGGGGGACATCTAATGTGTGTGTGCGCATGCATGTGCACGGTGGGGATGCTGTGTGTGTGTGTGTGTGTGTGTGTGCATGGGGGGGACACCTAATGTGTGTGTGTGCGCACGGTGGGATGCTTTGTGTGTGTGTGTGTGCACGGGGGGGATGCTTTGTGTGTGTGCATGTGTGCACGCGTGCATGCACGTGGTTGGGAAGTCTGGTGTTTGGGACTGTGCCAGCATCTGAGCGAGTCCTTCAGGTGATGATGAAACACCAGCAGCAACACAGTGTAAGATAGTGAACTTGGTGGCCACTGGCCCATGTCCTTTGTCCACTCAGAGGGACTAGGCCGAGGTGTGCAGTCCCTCTGCCTCTGAGGCTTGCAGCTGCCCGGGTAGGGGAACTGGGAAAGGTGGCCGTGGATAAAATAGATGACATACATCATCCTAGAGGAGGATGGGCTAGGACCCAGGAGAGAGCAGGGATCCAGAGGACCAAGTGTGGGGCAGGGAGAGGCTGGGATGAGGGAGGAGGTATGGGGCTCCCCAGACAAGGCTGGGACTGCCTGGGGATCTTGTTCCCCTGTCCCTTTACTCCTTCCCTTCCATTCTAAGGACTCTCTCTGGCACCTCTGGAGAGAAAATCAAATCAAAAGTAGGGACAACTCAAATGACTAAGAAGCCTACAGAAGCGAAAGGGCAATGCTTTTACTTCCAAAGCAGGACGCTGGCGTCTGGCTCACAGTCCGCAGCGCTGCATAATTCTGTGGGTATGCTGCACGATAAAGGTGAATGCCTTCATGGGGTTCTTTTAACAGCCCAAGCACAGCACAGATAGCGCGACCATCTCTAGACTTCTGTTCTTCTCTGATGATAACGCAAAATAAAGCTTCAAAAGCTGTATAATAAGGCGTGGAGCAAAGATGAGGGAGTCCCAGTGAGGCAGAGATGGATTCTGAAATGTTGTATAGATGTGTAGATCTGGGAAGGCTTCCTGCAGGAGGCAGCATTTGAGCTGGCTTTAAGGATTGGTATGGAATGTGGGTAGCTGGAGGGAAGGAGGAGACTTGAAATGAAGGGACCAGAGTGAGGTAAGGCCAGGAGAGTCACAAAGAATATTGCAGGGTGGATCAGAGGCCTTTCTGGAGCCAATAGTTTCAGCCACTTCAGCTCCTCCTTTTGGCCAAAGCTATTTTAAAGAGTAGAGCTAGCTGTTTCAGGTCTCCCCGCCTCTGCAGAGGGTCATGCATGGAATACTGTGACCACGAGGACTGGAGGCCGAGAGCAGTGACTCCTTATAACTTATCACCCGGCTCAGCATGAGCCAAGGAGGCAGAAGCAATAAGGAAGGACCTCTCTAGGGGGTCCCTATCCACCTACAGGTCTAGAAGACTGAATTCTAATCTAGTTCTGGGAGCCTCCAAAGCATTCTTCACATTACATCAGCTCACTCAGCCACCCACCAACCACTCACATCCATCCCCCATCCATCCATTTCCTATCTGTCTATCCATGTATTCATCCACTGACATAGCCATTCATCTATCCCATCCATCCATCCATCCATTCCAATATGTCCAACCATTTGTCCCAACCCTACCCCTCCTGTCCATCCCTACTCACCCACCAGTGCACCCATTATCCATTCATCCACCCACCCACCTCCCGTACACACAGCCATCCATCGACCTCATCCATTATCCACCAACCATCAGTACCTCCCTCCACCCACCCATCTACTCCTCAGTCACCTGATAATCCACTTACTCACCTCTTCACCCATCCATTTCACCTATTCACTATCCACCCATCATTCACCTCTCCATAGACCCCCTATTTACCCAGCCACCTGCACACCTATCCCCCACTATCATCTATTCATCTACTGTCCATCTGCCCATCCACCCATCATCCACCCACCACCCTTCCGCCTATCCATTCTTCCATCTATTCCCATCCCTCCACCCAGCATTCCACCCAGCCATCTGATCAATGCCCACCCACCCCATCCGTCCCCTCCCCTTCCACTCATCCTTTCCACCAGCACTACCTGTGTGCTGGGCTCTATGTGCCAGGCTCACCGTGAAGGTTTGGGAAGAAGGACAGAGAGCAAACAGTGAACATCCCCTGTCCTGAAGTCTCTGCAGGAAGGACTCAGTGTGGCACAGCCTTCAGGGCCTGAGCTTAGAGCCAGGCTGTCTGGGCCTATCCCTCGGTCTGCCACCGACTAGCCTTGTCACTCTGGGAGGCTGGGTTCAAACCCAGGGCTGTCTGTCTCCAAGACCCCCGCTCTTTCCACTGAATCCTATGGCATTCAATCTGAGCCTAGAAGGGAGAGAGGATGGAATGACTTTTACACACTCTGAAGGCATCAGAAAGGCTCACTTTGCTCAGATAGGAACCCAAACACCCAGACAATGCTATGAAGCCATATGGTTGGCCCCAAGAGCTCACTTACATGACTCGCCCAGAACCCAGTTATCTATAATTCAGGAGGAAATGAAAAAAGGTTTTACATATCTCACTAGACGTAGCCCAAGTCTACGGATGCAAATTGGTGTGTTATCTCCGCGACGGCAGGGACATTTAATCTGCTCGGCCAGCTTATCAAATTAATTGTCAGCTCTGTGACGGGAATTCTGAGTGACGGATGTGAACACGCTCACCCTCCCGAACTCAGGCACTAGACCCTGGGAGGAAGCGCCCCGTGATGGAGAGCCCCATCAAGGAGAGCAGGGCGCATTAAAATTCATAATAGATCGGGCTGGAGGCACTTGCAAAGGCCAAGCACGACACAGGAATAAAACAAAATGGTGAGCAGTCAAACGAATTTCAATCAAGCTATTTCACACACCGAGGATGGAGTCAGTTTAAGTCTGACATCGATCTGTAGCCGTCAATCTGGAGGTGAAGGCTGGCCTCCTGGGCGAGACGGACCAGCTTTCCTTTGTGCTGTGCGCTTTACAAAAGGAAAACATCTCAAGCTTTCACACCTATTCAGATCACTTGACTGGTTCTCAAACTTGTGCATCTCCTGAGCTGGGTGGCATCACTGAGTGACACTGTGGCCTGTTGGGAAATGCAGGCTTTGGAGTCATCTGGGATTCATTCAGGACCCCAGCTTTGCCGTCACTGGCTGAGTGGTCTGGGGGAACTCACCCAACTTCTTGAAGCCTCTCTTTCCTCAGCCACCTCATGGCCCCAGCATCACCTTCTTACAGGAGTAGATGAACTAGGGCGTGGTACCCGCGGGCCCTGCGACAGGCACCTTCACCTTATGAAGGGCAGCCATCTTTAGGATGTCGATCAGTGTGGAGATACTCCCATTCCACAGATGGAGAAACTGAGGATCAGGAAGTAAAGCTTAATTCCTGCCATAGTTCTGATGAACATCTCCCAACAAGGAGGCTACCAG